CACTCCATAAATCAGAAAATACTGTCAACAGCCCTAAAATATCAATTTTTGCCATGTTTTTAGATATACAATGTTGTATAATTCAGGCTATGAATGATATATGAACAAACCCTTCTGTAAAAGCTTTCATAATATTGATAGGAATATAACTGGAAGGTTTGGTGTGTCTACGTGCTACTGAAGTTGAAATTTTGAACTCAGAGTAGGAGAAAAAACTCATTTTGAGAAAACGACCTTTAAAGATTGCAGTGAGGCGCTAGCTAAACCCTCCTGTTCTTTGGATGACAGCTTGCGCCTCGACGCACTCCGTGAAGGTATTTCATGTTCGGGGTCATTTGTTTTTTGTATAATCTTGCTTCGTGCAAGTGACAATTGTTGTCGTCTTCTCTGTAAACTTTTTTTTCGCCGTTCTTTTGCCATTTTGAGATTTACATTTCTAGCGGAAAGCTAACCAGGAAGTGTTTTAGCACACCACGTGACGCATCTGAACGAATCACGTTGTCTGAAATTGACACCAGCCAATGAGATTTCGTTTCTTGGTTTAAGATCCCTTTGTGCTTTCCCGATTGGTTGCTGATACAAAGGAAATGACCATATTTGGATCCGATGAGATTGTGCAGGAGAGACACAGCTTTCTAACGATATCTCTGTTGACATGGTGCACACAGCGGTCGCGGTACTTTATGTTACGTTAGAAAGCTAACTTTTGGTGAATTTAGGAGAAATCTACTGACGCAAATAGACAAACTATAGTCAAATAAACACTTAAATGTGTATTTTGTACGTTTTCCTTCCAAAAGCCTGAAAGAAAACATGTTATAGAATCAAAATAGCACAAAATCTCAAAATTGACCAGTGCTTGAAAAACGATGTTTTTGCCTGCCGTGTCTCGCCTTAATATGGCAATACCTTATTGAATTTTAAATCTTTAGAAATACGAGTCACCTGATTTAAGGGAAAAGTCTTTATTGGAGGAGTTGATGATGACATCACAGGCCTCCTTGGTAATGTCTCCAGACGACACCTCCAGTGTGAGCTGACCCATCTGCATCTGATACACACCGAGGGAGGGGGACGACACCTGACCAAAGGAGGCTGACACACACACACACATCTCTTCTTAGCTTTTTTGTATTATAAAATCTTCATTCCTACCATTGTATATATGATCCAAACTAGAGTTCAACAATAGCGTGGTGAACTGGAGGCTCAAGACATCCGTTAAAGTCACCTTTCCGTCTCTCAAATTAAAGTATCTGGGAATTTATCAAATCAATAACATTGTATAGTTACAGACTTACTCCATTTTACCCTTTACATTCTCAACTTTCTATTTACAGATTACTGCTGTGTGACTTTGTTGCTATGAAATTCCAAATAGGTTTTTGGAAGCTTCTTACCTGAGGACGGCTGTGATTGGCTGATTGGATGATGACTGACTGGCCTAACGGGTGACTTGGTTCTCTGACCACTCTGACCACTGAACTCCCTGGTGAAACACTGACAAACAGGATGATGGTAGATGATGTTAATAATACTCCATACATGTCTCTTTGGGTATGGAAGTTCAGTTTAAAGCTGTACTAAAGAAATAAAATTGTTTGACATTGATGGATAGTAAAAAAAGAAAAACAAATCAAAAATCAATGCAGCAGAACCAGATCCATAATCTTTTTTTATTGCACATATCATGCTCCCCATTACCCACAATGCAACTTGGCTGCCAGCATTTGTCTGTGATATTGTGGTTACTAGCTGCTAATGGAGCCAGAGCAGAGATCTGGTAAGCGCAGGAATGTATAATCTTCAAACTCTGCATTTTAACTCATTGGACATTTTCTACTGTGAGAAATGTTTCATTGACAATATTTAAAAGGTAATAACAGGATGAAATGAACTCACATCCACAGTTTGCTTGTCACTCGGGTGAACGACGATGGCCACCGCTCTCAGATAGCGAGGGGATCGTCTGCGGCTGAACGAGTGGATCTCCTGCAGCAGGACTCTGGACACCACGTCTCTGGGGAAGCTCAGGTTTCCTGTGCCGATGGCGGGGAAAGACAGCGATGTCATCTGAGTCTTCTCAGCCTCCTCCAGACAATATCTGATGATGGTTATCAACTCCTGACACAAAAAGACAACACACATGTTGGTCCGTTTCCCTCCATATTACCAGCAACTAGGGCACATTGATAGTCGGCCAACTGTCTTTTTAAGTGAACATTGTAGGTGCTTTCCATTTTATGCTACTTCCAGTGTTGTAGTGAAGTCACAAATTCTCGAGTCCGAGTTCAAGTCTGAGTCGAGTCCCAGTCGAGTCCGAGTCGAGTCCGAGTCCAAGTCATCATTACCTGTGCTTGAGTCCAAGTGCAAGTCCAAGTCTGAGTTTTATTGTCTGCATTGCTTTTATTCTGGTTTTTCATACCACTGCTACGATGACGACACCCAATTCATTCAGTCTTTTCCCCGCTCAGAGGCCCAGGTCGTCGCACGCATCTCTGCTTGTCTAGCGGACATCTCTCAATGGGTGTCTGCTCATCACCTCAAGCGCAACCTTGACAAGACTGAACTGCTTTTCCTTCCAGGAAAAGATTGTCCCACTCTTGACCTGACAATCAACATTGGCACCTCTGTTGATTCCCCGACTCAGACTGCAAGGAATCTGGGTGTGACCCTAGATAACAAACTGTCCTTTACTGCAAACATCGCTGCTGCAGCCCGCTGCTGCAGATACACTCTTTACGTCCCCTCCTGAACCAGAAAGCGACGCAACTTCTCTCACCAATTCCAATTAAGGTTCCAGCGGGGACCTTGTTCCCTGCGTGTGCCTCTCCACCTCTGTTTCTTACTTGCTACCCTTTTCCCTCAACCTATCCTAAGGGAGTGCATACACGTTAGTTTAGCTTTAGTTGGACTGTCGGGGGACACCTTGCTTCTTCCTTCTCTCTGTCTGTACCTGTGTACTCTCATGTTCCGATTAACCCAGCCTCCCCCAAATTTCTTTTCGTGGCTGATCCTTTTGCTGTGGTCCTGTGTCCTGGATCCTCTATCCTGACGCTTCTGCCGAGTTATCAAAATTTGAACATAGCTTCTTGGTCGAATGCACTTATTGTAAGTCGCTTTGGATAAAAGCGTCAGCTAAATGTAATGTAATGTAATTCTGTATTTTACATTAATTTGTCTATATAACTGCTGTGAAGCACTTTGGGCTGCAATTATTGTATGAAAGGTGCTATACAAATATAAGGCTTATTATTATTATTATTATCAAGGTTGGGTTTAGTTGCAAGATTGCCTTAAAAGAGCTGCCTTACAAATAAATGCGGTCTACATTGAACACAATGACCCACTTTCACCATTTCAGTTTAGTTAGTGGTTCCAAAAGAAACTGAAAATACTTTAACATTCCACTGACCTAACTAAACCATCACTGTACTGAATTACTTTGACTTTATTAAGGATGGGTCTTAAACATAAATATTGAAATGATTTTAACAGTGAACTAATCAGCACCCAAGTGCCACTCGAGTACTCCAACTCTTGCCACTTCTATGTGACTTCATTTGAAAGTGAAATAATGTGCTTTTTACTTCGCTACATTTATCTGACTGCAGTTGAAAACCTCACAACAACACATAAATGAGTTCAAACTACTTCCAATTCAACCAAAAAACACTGTCAAACGGTGATGTTTAAGCTGTGAAAGTCAGTGGGTTTATGGGCAATGGTGTACACTAGATGCCGAGATGTTGAATAAACATTGCATTAGATTATTGTTTTGTTTTTTTAAATGACTTTCCTATCAAAACATATTGAGTAAATCAAGTGACATACTTTTGAGAGATGATACGTTGTAAAGCTGGGTCTTTAGTTTGTAGGGTTTTCAAAAATGAAAATGGGACTTTTAAATGAAGGCTGAAACAGAATTATCTTAATCGTGTCTCTTACATTTACTACAGCTGCAGTTCTCTAAAGTAGGTACTGTATATGATGCTTAAAACACAATGTTTCCATTGCATGTTCATTTAGCTTTCTTCATTTAAAATTCAGTTTCTCTGGAGCTCCTTTTTAAATAATCCCTCACCTCATGGCCCGCTCCGTTGTTCCAACAAGGGCAAACGGTATGAAAGACTTTCCGACAGTTGAGGTTGAAGCCATCGGTGATGACGACATCGCCCTCTGGCAGCACCGTCGCCCCCCCTTCAGTCAGAACCGCCCTCTGCAGGCCTGGCCCGGCCACCTGCAGGATGGCTTTAGACACAGCTCCCTGGATCAGGTTCATGTCCGCTGAGATGGTGTTGATGATGACGTCAGTCTGTGGACCAAAACCACAGCGTCTTCACAAACTTTGGACTAAAAGTTCATTATTATTATCCTTATTAGTTTAAAAATACAGTAAAATATTTACTGATTTCAGCTAGACTTTTATTACAGGTTAGTGCAAGATGACAAAATGAACTTAATTGGTTAACTTGGGATCACCTCTAAAGAATACTTATACACAGTTAACACATCCTGACGTTCTCTCCACCCACCCTTCCTCTCTATTCCAACCATCTATTCCCTTTCTAACGTCCTCCTTAGCCACATCCCTTCATCCCTCACTCCCCTCATCCCTTCATCCTCACACACAACCCTTCACCCCTCCATCCACGATTACTTCATCACAACTCACATCCCTTCGACCCTCCCACATCAATCCCTTCACTCCTCACGTTCCTCATCCCTTCATCCTCACCCACAACCCTTCACCCTTCCACCCATTGATCCCTTTATCCCTACATACCAGCATCCCTCCCTCTCCCTTTCCCTGCATCCTCTCTATCCGTCTCCTTTAATCCCTTCCTATTCAACTAGTGCATACTTTTCTAAATATCTAATTCCACCTACAGTCTGAGGTGCCTGTAATCAGCTCAAGCAGAAATTAGCCTGAGAGGGAACCCCCACCCTATGTCTTCCTCTGCCCAGACTTCAGCACATCCAACCGGACCAGCATAACAGATGGCATGCTTCACCCACCTTCACCCCTCCCTCCAAATTAATTATTTAGATTGACATATCCTTGTGGTGTGGTGTGGCCCCTCAGGGCTCGACATTAAGGGCTGCCCGATGGCCTGGGGCCATCTAGTATTTAGCTCGGGCAATGAAGCCTCACCTGCTGGTTGCCCGATCGGGCAATCTATTATACCAGCAGCTCGCGGATCCAGTAATGAGTGACCCGAAAGTAAAACTAAACATATCTATAACTAGTTACGGTAGTTTCAGAGGTAATTAAAATAGCTTGTGTGATATTCTAACCTGAAGTGTGTGTTTTGTCCGCTCACCGCTGCATGTGATCATGCAGTGCTGTGTCGACTCGTCAGCAGCAGCTGATCTCTCTCTCCCGTCAGATTAGACTTCACTCGCGTTTATGTCCATATTGATCAGATCTAGCTAGTTCTAGCTAATGACATGACTACCTGCTTATTAAAAGACACCTAAACAATAAGTGTCGCTATGCAACTGGGTGAGGCCACAAAGTATAGCGCAGCATTATGCATTTGTTTACATGCCCACCGGAACCCCGAGACATTACCAACAGATCAACGCACAATCAACCCATACAGGACATCTCTTTCTCCACATTAAGTGTTAGACATTAGAATTTACTATTCTTGTCTGTCACATACTTTTCTTCTCTGTCACATAAGTGGCGCAACTGAAGCGGTATTGTGCTAAAGGGAAATTATTGTGACCGAAGAGATTTAGATTTGCCGGCCAACGGGAACGCTGACGTCGCCATTTTGTATGCTTCGCGGATGCACTCGGCTCCTCTCGACTGCTGCTCTGGGTCTGCTCGGTCAGCTTCCGGATGAGGAGGCATTCGTTCGACCAACTTACAGTAGATAACATTACAAACATTTTTAACAGGGGCCATAATAGTGTATATAATGTTTGTTTTGGCAGTTATAACTGAATGTAATGTTTTCAACTTTTTTACATCTGGGAAGGCATTTGCCTTCATCAGATGAAAGTGTCTTGACCAACAACTTAAAGAGCCTGTGACACGAACCCAACAACTGTTGTGCAATGAAATAGTGGGCTACTAGTAATCTCGAACCGTCAGTTTGAAAAAGAAAAAGTGATACCGTTCCGATAAATATCAATAATTTCGAACATCGCGGGAAAATCCTTCGACTCATTTTGAGTTTGGGGGAAGCCGGAAGTGACGTCAATGCGGGAACGCTTCACTGTGCGGCGAGAGAGCCAAACACGGACAAAGTGTGTTGTCATGCGTAGAAATGGTGAATTACTGAGTTTAGGTACGTTAATAACGTTTTAATGAAGTTGACTACAGTATATTCATATTTGTCAGTGCTTTCATGTCAATTCGGCGAACATAAACATAAATGAT